ACATGTGATGTGACACCCAGAAAAATACGGCATACTCCATTGCAGTGGTTCTCAACCTGTGGGTCGGGACCCCATTTGGGGTCGAATGACCATTTCACAGGGGTCGCCAAACAACGCAGTCTGCCATTTTTCCTCCCCTTTTCCTTAGCTGTGCTACTCCCTTTTATTCTATTGGCTTTTGAAAGCCAATAGAATAGACTCTCTTGAATAGAGTCTAATTCTATTGGCTTTCAAAAGCCAATAGGAATTGTCCAGGCTGTCTCTGCCCTGCTGAGCCCGCCAAAAGTCCTATTCTGCAAACGGTGCTGCACTAGTTGAGTAGTCCTCGACTTACGACTGGTTGAGTAGTCCTTGACTTACGACCGGTTGGGGGTCGCAGCATTAAAAAGGTTGAGAACCACTGCTCCATTGAATCCTCCAGGGAAAGATTGAAGGCAAACGATTTCCAGGCAGAAGAAGAACATCGTGGCTTCAAAATCTAAGGGACTGGTTTGGACAAAACTCAGCAGCACTTTTTTGTGCGGCTGCTGATAAAAACAGGATCGCCAACGTCCGATAACAGATATGGCACAAGAAGAAGTCCTAACTTCATTGTAGAACCAGAGGCCACCAAGATGCAGAGCTTAAACATTTTCAATTCCATATTTTCCCATGTCTTGCTTTTTTGCTGAACGCTATTGCTCGCAGGCTTTTCCCAACTCCAGGTTTCTCCATGGAGCTGCAAATATTTCTGCCGGAAAGCACCTCTCAGAAGCTTGTTTCCTACCTGCAACATTTATTGCTTGCCATTTGGCTTCCATGCTCAAATGTAAGTTTGTTATGCTACAGCTTTTGACCAAGCCACTCAAGCTCGGCCCGCACATCCATGCAAACGGACAGGAGAAGGGCCCCAGAATGAGCCACCCTCCAGGGACGCAATTCCAACCGCCAGGAAATCTCTGGGAATGCAGCCAAAGGATCTTCCTCAGCAGGGCTACCTGGAAACCAATTGTATTAAGCAATGAAGCTGCACCAGAGTAATCAGGGGAAGGGTCCTGCCTCCTGGTATGTTGTGAAACTGAAGAACTGATCTAAGCAATTGACTGCTTGGGCTGCTTCATGGTCCTTCTGTATCAGCCCTTCACTGGCCACCAATGATGGCCATGACCATTCAAACACTGGAGGCCTGGATTGCCTTACCTAACACATCTGCACTGCTTCTTTGGCTTGGAAGAAATCCCAGCCTGAAGTCCCAAGAAATCAATTCAATATCCCTTTCCAGTTAATTTACCACCAATAAATTCAGAAGGAATGCCATTAGAAAAAGTGGAAAGGAGCACGCACCTCGGTTCTAATCTACATGAAAGCTGGGACATGACCGTTGAAGTAAAGAGAAGGATAGAAAAAGCCCAAACAGCATTCTTCCAAATGAAAAAGGTCTTCTGCGTCACGACATAAGCCTAATCAGGCTTGTCAGATGCTATATTTTTTCTATCCTGCTCTATGGAGTAGAGAGTTGGTCTCTGACCGAAGGCCACCTGAAGAGACTAGAAGCCTTTGAAATGTGGATTTACAGGTGGCTGTTACGTATAAGCTGGGTTGACAAGATCAGAAATGAGGAGGTGATCAGCCACCTGGGAAAGCCAAAGGAAATCATCAAAACAATTTAAAAAACGAAAATTAGAATATTTCGGACATGTTATGCAACACCCATAAAAATACGGCATACTCCATTTAATCCTCCAGGGAAAGATTGAAGGCAAATGAGGTCCAGGCAGAAGAAGAACATCATGACTTCAAAATCTAAGGGACTGGTTTGGACAAAACTCAGCAGCACTTTTTCGTGCGGCTGCTGATAAAAACAGGATCGCCAACCTGATCGCCAACGTCCGATAACGGATATAGCACAAGAAGATGATCCTTTTCCAGCCATTTCCAGACCCACAGAGATGCCTACGAGAAGCCCCCATTAAATCTCTGTGATAAGGACCCCCCCCAAACAGACATGCACCAAATGTTGGTGTGCTCAGCACAAGCCTGCCCTGCTGACCTTTGACCACCCAGGAAGGCCCTGACTTTACAGATTTATCATCAACCGTAGGAAATGGAAGATGGGCAGGGACTTCAGCCATACTTTATACACCGAGCTCAGTATATAATTTACTTTTTGTTACACAACTCTTGTTCCAAGCCTGGTCTGTTATTTTTTTTCTCTGTGAATTATCCCCAGAGTAATTTCCATGCCCACAGATTTAGAAAGAGTTGCAGGGGGGGCTTCTTTGCTTAAAATGGCTCCATCTCTCAGCGTTGGAAATAGCTGTTAATATCATTTACATGAAAGAATTATCACTGTGGTTAACTTACTTGAAATAACTGCCTTGTGTTACTGAGAAAGAAGCTAAGCTGCTTCTCTGGCTTGGCTTTGGCCACACACTTTTTTTTCTGAATGGGATGTTTCCTCCCAAACAATATAAAACTAAAGATGATAAAATCATTTTGGCTTCTATAAACAAGAGGACAGAGGAAGTGGAGAGCAAGGAGGCTTCTTCAAGGGTGGTTAGAAGGCCGCCTTATGTCTCTTGGCCTTGCAGGCCTCTACCCAGCCCCTTTGCTCTCTCTGGCAGCTTCTCCTGACTGCAGAGGGCAGCCAGGGAATGAAGGAGTACTAGGAATACCCTCTGCCTGTTTGGTGCAGGGGCAAAGTTGTGCAGCGACCTCTCCAGAATAAAAGCAAGGAAGCAAGCAAGGAAAATGTGTTCATACCAGTCAATATTTCAGACACATCCATTCAAGTTCCCAACCAAAGATACCAGCGGATCTTTCCCTACCAGCAAGCCGTCTGCTTTCGCTCTGGGTCTGTTGGGAACACAGAAGAGATGTCCTGCGCGCAGAACATCCCTGCCCATAACGCTGGATTAATTTTCAGCCATGTTCATACCATATAATAACGTGAGAGGATCATTAAGGCATATTAAAATGATTTGTGGCCTACTTCCCGTCCTTTCATTAAAACAAGGCTCGGTTGGGTTATAAATATTCATTACCAGGAATTTCATCTTTATCTATCTGTTTAAAATTTCAGCTTGTCACGGGCAGGGCTCCCTTATCTATGTCTGATCCCCTCAGAGGGAGAAGCAGGCTTTCTTGGCTACAGATGTCTTCTCTGGGAAGAGTCCTCCCCATGGCCTCTGCACCCTCTTGCAGGACCAGCCCCTGAAAAGGGGGGTGGGGTCTGTCATTCTGAGACAGTGATATGAATACCACATCCAGAAGTGCAAGAGCAGGGCCCTGGCTGGGGAGACTGGAGAAGGCCAATTCCTACAATCTGACACACCTTCCTACATAATAATAACACCACCAACAACAACATCTGGAGCACCACTTGAACACCACTGACATTGACAAATTCGCCATTAGTCAATTGCAAAAGGCAGCCTTACTAGGAACCGCTTCCATCCTGTGACGATATCTGTAATACCATCAAACATCCACATCTGCCTATCCCAAGTCCTTGGTAAGGACTAGATAGGTAGACAAAAATGCCAAATCCAGTCTGAACATCTGGCTGACTGTCTGATGATCCATAACAACAACAACAACAACAACAACGTTGGAAGGGACCTTAGAGGTCATCTAGTCCAACCCCCCTGCTCAGACAGGAAATCCTGTACCTATCCCATGTAGGTGAGTCCATAGATTATAACACGAAGCGATTCAGGCCCAGTTGCACCGGCTCCAGAGCATCTTCCTCCAGGGCTTCTTGAGGGAGACGCCTCAAGCGGAAGGAATAACTTCCTAAAGCCAGCCAGTCCCTGAGGAGAGGCCGGGTGACCGCTGCACAGGGCCCCGAGTGACTCCCGGCCTGCTAAAACAGAGGGGCGGCGGAGAGCCCTTCCACACGCCGCGGGGCGGAGAAGCACAGGTTCTCGGCTTGCCTTGCCCGACAAGGTCAGACCCAGAGGCCTCTTCCTGCCGCCCGGAGCTCCCGCGCAAAAATGCCGGAGGGGAGACGGCTGCCTATCTGCCAAGCTATCACCTCACGCGCAAAGCCCAGCCGCGGCCCCACCGCTGCCCGCCCAGGAAGCCCCGCATTTCGCCCCGAGCTCCAGCGAGCACAGCGCCTGGCGGGCCTCAGCACCCTTTGCTCGGATCTAGCCGCCGCGTAAAGGCGCAACCTACCGCCGGGCTGCAGGAGCATTCACACGTGCACCCGCCTCCTCAGACCCCCCTCTCTTTTTTTGGCAACGGTGCCCGGGAAGACGGGTCGGCCAGGCCGCCTCTCCTCACGGCCTGGCAGGCGGGCGCGTGGCGGGAACAAGGGCTGCTTGCCACCGCTTCGCGCCCGGGCCGGCCGGGCCTCCCCAAGGCCTGGCAGCGGGCCAGGAGCGTGGCGTGAGCTCCGTCCCCCTACCTGTCATCCCGCCACTCGGTCCTGCCGGCCGACCGCAGCCCGGGCGCTTTCGTCCGCGCTGCCCGGCCTGCCTTTCGTAATTTCCGCCTTGCATCCCCGCCGCGGAGGCGAAAGAGCGAGAGCCCAAGGCCGAGCACGCCGCCCAAACCTCTTCACACGTTCAAGGCGCCCCAGGTGAACACGCAACTCCACGGACGGAAAGGGGGGCGGGCCCCCGGTGCCCCCCCCTCTCCCCAAGATGAAGGGAAGCGGCGCGCCTGTGACGAGGAGACCGAAGCGGGGCGGGGGCGGGAGGAAGGTTGGTGTAAGTAAAGATCACCTTCAGGCAGGCAGGCAGCGCCGACACCGGCTTGCAGCCGCCGGCGTCTTGAGTTCCCGGCCGGCAGGCGGGCTTGGTTGGCCGGTCCAACCTTGCTGCAGCCTTCCCGGGACCCCGGCCGCAGAGACCCGCGTCTCCCGCCCGGCCTTGCCTGAACACGGGCATGCACACCGTCCCGGGCGAAGCCCACCTTCTCTCTCTGGGGTGCTGCCGGCCGGCCGGCAGCCCCCCCCCTTCCCCGCAACCCCCCCCCCCGCTCCGCTCCCTCGGGGAAAGACGCGGCGCTCCCACCTCGCCGTGGTCGCTCCTCCGGCCCTGGGGAGTGTCCTCCGGGAGGAAGTAAAGTTTGGAGCTGGATAAAAGTTGCCGGGAGCTCCGTTCTTCCCAGAGCAGCTGCAGCTCCGCTATGCAAAGGGGGTCTTCGGGCCGGCAGCGCACAAAGAAAAAATCGCCGAGGGAGAGGATCCGCGCCCTGCCGTCCAGGTGGAGCTGAAACGCCTTGTAGAAAATGTACGGTCCGTGCAGCCCGCACGGCGAGCCGACCCACTGCGGGGGGGGGAGGAGAGGGAGAGGCAGAAGGGAGGGGAGGGGGAAAGAGAGAGAGAGAGAGAGAGAGAGAGAGAGAGAGAAGCATCAGCCCCCGCAGAGCCATCTCCAAAACGCGCTCCCTCCCTCCCTCCCTCCCCCTCCTTCCCTCCCCTCCCTCTTTCCCTCCCTCCCCCGGCCGCCGGATCGGATCGGTTCGGGTCGTGTCTCGGGAGAGGCGACTCGGGGCCAGGCGGGGCGGGGGCTGCGGGCGCGGGCTGGCCGGCTGCCGTCCGTCCGGCGGGCAGCCCTCCCCCCCCGGATCGAGACACCCCCTCCCCATCCTCTCTCCCCGTTCGGGGAGACCAGGCGGGGGAGGGGGGGGCTGGCAGTTTCCCGGGGAAAGTTCCTGGAAAGTTTGGGGGGCGGGGGGCGGGCGCGGGGGGGCTCCGGGCGCGGGGCTTAGCCAGGAGGGGCCGAGGAGAACCGAATACCTGGACTGAATTGGGCTCCATCTCGACGCTCTGAATTGATTGAACTCAACATTCTCCAAACTTGTTGGCTTGAATGGATCGCATCAGGTCCTGGCAGGGTAAAGCGCTCTCTCCCTCCCCCCGCCGCCGCCGCCGCCGCCGGCCAGCCTCGCTCGAAAAGACGAACCGCCCGGCCCGGGGCCGCCTCGGAGAGACAGCGACGCCCCGCCGCCTCCCCATTTTCCCAGCCGGGGCTTTGCGATCCGGGCCCTCCCGGCTGGCTGCCGTTCCGCTTTGCCCGGGCGCGCTGCGGTTCAAGGCGTCCAAGCTCGGCGCTGCGGCCAGGCGGAGCGGGTGGAAGCGGACCTCGGGCTAGCTGCTTAAAACCTTACGCTGCCCGAATCCCCCGAGCTGCAGCCTCCGCCGAGCTGCCCGCCGGACCCGCCAGCGCCGAAGCCGACCGCCGCTCCATTTTGCCGTGCCGAAAGGCGGTCCCGTGAAGTCTTCATCTGACAGGACCTGCTTGTATATCTCTAATATAAAGAACATTTCCTGCCGGGAGTCGGAGGCGCTGTTCTTCTTTTTCTAATTCTCTGTAGCAGATTTGCTTTTATTAGACATGTAGATTGGTTTGATAGTTAAATTACGTTTCCTTGGTGCCATATTCCGCGGGGGGGCCCCCCCTTTCCCTCCCTCCCTCCCTCCCTCGGCGGAATTTGATCGGTTTAGATTAGCTTGCCTGGCACTAATATTTCAATATTAAAGACGGGGGGAGGGGGGGTGATCGATTATATAAACATATCAATATTAATGCATTTGTTTGCTTTGCGCGCGCACACGCACACACACACACACACATACACACACACAGCCCAGAAGAACAGAGGCGTGGTGAGCGAACCGCCCGCGGAAGCGCAGCGATCACGGGATCTTGCCAGCGATCTCAAACCAGCCTATCGAACAAATAAATCAATAGGCTGGCGAAGCCCCCGGCCGCCGTGCCGCTTTCCCCCCCCCCGCTTTCTTTTCCTTTGGAAGTCTCGGGCACACACGGTTACGTGTGTGTGTGTCTGTGTGTGTACAATGCGCATTTCCGGCAGGGGCTCGCCGCCGTTCATATGTTTTATATATCTGATCGGTGCAGAAAGCGCAGAGGAGGAGGTGGGGGGGTGGAGGCGAGGGGGATCTATTTGCAAGCCCGCTCCGGCAGTCCCCCGGAATTTAAGCCGGGCGGGGGGGGGAGGTGTGTGGGGATGGGCGGCTGGAGCTTCAGACGACCGGCGTCTTCTGCTGCATTCGCGGCCGCTCTTGGCCTTGCGGACCCGCTGCGGGCGCCGGCGTTAAAGCCTGAACTTGAGAACCGTGATCCTCTCCCCCCCCCACCCCCCCCGCAGCAGCCCCCCCCCCGGAAGATGCCGTTTTGGAAAATGGTGCAGTTGCATTAGCAGCCCCCGGAGCTACCGTGGTGGATCTCCTTCCCCGCCCCCCCCACAAGGGGCTGGGTGGGGGGGGTGGGGGGTATGAGTGGGGGTGGTGGTGGAGAGAAATGCATCCCCGCGATGCACTCCTGCAAAACGTGTGCACGGTACACGACCCTTGTAATCCGAGCCCCGATAAAATTAACAGGAGGTCGAAAAGATATTTTTAAACGTTTTCGCAAACGTTTTGCCTTCGTACTCGCGGCCTCCATCGGAAAACAGGATCGTGGTGAATTATTACTATTATTATTATTATTAACAATAATAATAATAATAGTCATAGGCGCCTTGGGTGCAATCCCAAAACAACTGGAGCACCACTGGAACACCATTGGCATTGACAAATTCGCTATTAGTCAATTGCAAAAGGCGGCCTTACTAGGAACTGCTTCCATCCTGGCGATACCTGTAATACCATCAAACATCCACATCTGCCTATCCCAGGTCCTGGGTAAGGACTCGATAGGTAGATAAAATGCCAAATCCAGTCTGAACATCTGGCTTACTGTGCGATGATCCATAATAATATTAATATTATTAATAATAATAAAACGAGACACGTGATTGCCGAAATTACTCTCGGGGGAGCCGGCGGGGGGGGGGTGTCTCTCCGAGACGGGGGGGGGGGGTTCGGCCTCTTCCCTCCCAGTTCCCCCCCTCTCTCGCCGCATCGGCGGAGATGGCAAGCTGGAGGCTTGGCCCCAGATGAGAAACTGCCAAAAACTCTTCCGCTCGTTTCGCGGGACGGCTGGCCGATCCCGCCGCGGCGGGCCAGGCGAAGGGGGCGCTCGGCCGCCCTGCGTCCTATCGGCCGGGCGGTCCATCCGCTACGCCGACAGGGAACCCTTGGGGGGTCTTGGTTCCTGGCCCCCGGACGGCTAAACCCGCTCTTCGAAAGGCCTCGAGAGTAAAGGTCGGCTTTCTTAGAAAGAGGTCTGGCCTTTATTCCTGAAAAGCCACGTTCAGCATCTTCTTAGCCGGCTGGAATGAATTTATTCGACGGGGGGCTCGTTAACGCGGGAGTTAGCCGGGTGCAGTGCCATAGTTGCAGAAGCCCCTTCCCCTCCCTGACCCATCCGGGGGTCTCCTCCGTCTTTGGGCCGATCTCCAGGAGATCCAGGATCACTTTTTCTCAGCGGCCTGAGTCCGATCCTCCCCCCCCCGCGCCCCCAGCAATGGAACCGGAGCTGAACCCTTCCTTTAAAGATGCTTCGCTCCGCGACCCCCCCCCCCGGACGACACTAGCACCGGGACCCTCTGAAGGGGGAGGGGCGCTGCCCTTCCCCCCCCGTGCAAGATCCCGTGGGGGGGGGGTCCTGAGTGGCTGGGCTCGCAGCGACCTTCCCTCGGGTGCGTTTCTTCTGGAACCGCTGCGAGGGGGGGGGTCGCGTGGGAGGGGGCGTCCTCCCTCCTCCGGTTTGCTCCGTTATACCGGCAACTGCAGAAGGAAAATTGGGAATCTTACCCCTCCAATTTCCAAAAGGAGAGAGCCCCTCCCCTTCCCTCTCGCTCCGCCCCCCCCCCGTTGAAGTCGCCACTGCGCGCAACTATAAACGATCTGCCTTCAAAAAAAAAAACAACCGCGCAGAGAAAGTTCCAATTAAGATAACCCGGTTGCTCTGTGGACGGCCTTTTCTTTATTTTTTTTTTGCGGGGGGGGGGGAAGTCACCTAGTTAACAACCTGCGAGAGAGTCATAAGGTCCATTCAAGGCCCATCAATCAGCCCGCCAACGGGCGAGGCTCCAGACGCTGACGGGAAAGCGGGGGGGGGGGCGGAAGAAAGGCGCCCCTGAGATCAGGCCTCTTCCCACCAGTGGGAGCTGGGGAACGTTGAATGCCACGGTCTGCGCTCCTCGACCCCTTTCCCAAAACGGCCCCGGGGTGGGGTTCAGTTATTAGACGGAACGAGACGGGAGCTTCCTCTCTCGCGCTAAGGAAGCCAAGAAGAGGTTGGTGTTCGGGGATTCCCACGTGGCGGAAAGCTTGTTCAGCTGCCGGATTTCAGCTGCCGGATTTCAGCACCGCTCGCGGTCCAGCGGAGAGAATCCCGGTCGCGCCAAGAGTGCCAGGCGTGGGTGCCAGACCTCGTTCCTCCGTTGGGGAGAGGGGAGGACGTGCAAAAGCCTCTCTCGGCCGCGGAGCTGGGATGTGTGCGTGTGTGAGATTTGGGGCTGGCAGCCCCCCCACGCAGGGCTGCGGAATAACTACCGCCGAGTTGCGTCTACAAGAACCGCCGGCAGCGCAGCCGAGATTCACTGAACTGGACAGTCCGGGCTGGACAAGAAGAGGAGCGAGAGAACGAGGAGCGACGGGGCCGACCCCGCCTGCGCCCACCGCCGGGAGGAACCCTCCGAGCAAGAACCCGGGTGGACGGGACTACCGCCGTGGACCTGCGTGACCAGCCATCAGGCAAGCTCGCCCTCCTTGCGGGGAAGCCCCCTCGGGCCGGAACCGGTTCGGGCTGTGCTCCCCCGTTCCCCACAGCCCGCCAGCCCCGTGGCTTCGTCGCGCGAGGGCGCAGAGCGCTACCACCGCCCGGGAACGCAGAGGACCCCGCGCAGAAGTCGTCCCCGGGGGGGGGGGCGCCCGATCTGGAGAACGGACCAAGAGCGTCTAGACCAGGGGTAGGCAACCTCGGCTCTTTTTATGACTCGTGGACTTCAACTCCCAGAATTCCTGAGTCAGCATAGCAGAGCAGGAATTCTGGGAATTGAAGTCCAAGAGTCATAAAAGAGCCGAGGTTGCCTGCCCCTGGTCTAGACTAACCGAGGAGCCCCCCCCCCCTTCCTGCCTTCCCTGCCGCGGTGCAGAGCCTGGAAGAAGCGGCGCGGCGCCGGGAAGGGCGCGGAGCGGAGCCTTCTTTGCGCCTCGCTCTCTCCGTGCGCCCTCCCGCCCTTCCGCGCTGCCCGAGGACTCCCGGAGCTGGAGGCGAGCAAGGACCGGCGCGACCCTCCTCTGCCTCCCTAGAGTGGGGGACCGGGACCCCGAAAGCTGCTTCGGCGGGCGCGGGGCTTTCTGCCTGCGGACTTGGGCACCTTTCCAAGCGCGCGCCTGGGGGCCTCTGCCGCTGCTGCTGCCGTTGCCCCTTGCTGCCAAGGCGGTGCTGGTGCGCCAGGCTACCGGCAAGCCCGGGGCTGCGAGAGAGGCGTCCCAGGGCTCCCTTAACGGAGCCAGAGCCCAATTTGTCGAGCTGATGGGGGTCGGTGGCCCTTGCGTCGCTGTTTGGGTACCGGTCAGCGGGAGCGATTGCGCAACGCCGTCTGGGCCCCCTGCGGCATCGCCGAGCCTCGCTTCGCCTCCACCGAGATCTAGAACAGTGTTTCTCAACCTTGACCATTTTAAGGCATGTGGACTTCAACTCCCAGAATTCCACAGCCAGCAATGCTGGCTGTGGAATTCTGGGAGTTGAAGTCCACATACCTTAAAATGGTCAAGGTTGAGAAACACTGATCTAGATCAGTGGTTCTCAACCTTTTTAATGCGCGACCCCCAACCGGTCGTAAGTCGAGGACTACTCAACCAGTCGTAAGTCGAGGACTACTCAACCGGTGCAGCACCGTTTGCAGAATGGGACTTTGGGCGGGCTCAGCAGGGCAGAGACAGCCTGGACAATTCCTATTGGCTTTGGAAAGCCAATAGAATTAGGCTCTATTCAAGAGAATCTGTTCTATTGGCTTTCAAAAGCCAATAGAATAAAAGGGAGTAGCACAGCTAAGGAAAAGGGGAAAAAATGGCGGACTGCGTTGTTTGGCGACCCCCGTGAAATGGTCGTTCGGCCCCAAATGGGGTCCCGACCCACAGGTTGAGAACCACTGGTCTAGATGGAAGGAATGGAGCGGTGGGGGGGGGAGGAATGGGGAGCTCTCCACGTCTCGTCGGGGTGCACCGGAGCCAGCGGACTGTCATCAGCAGCCTTCAGTTGCGGCTGTGAGAAATTCCTCAGCCTCTCCGAGGCTCCATAGAGCCAGGAAGAGCAGATGGGCGACTCCGCCTTGCCCAGCAATCCCCAGGACCGCTGTGCCCCCGGCGAGGGGTAGCTTCCCAGCTGCCTCTGGGCTAGAAGAGGGGTCCCTCTGAGCCGTTTGACCATGTGGCAGATGGGAATGGCTGGAGCTGGCCAGGGAGACTCCTTTGTTGCGGTCAAGGGGAGAAGATAACTAGGAGACAAGTGGGAGGGCCTCTTTGATGTATATTTGGGGAGGCCCGTCCCTCCTTGCTGTCTTTGTCGGGAAGTCCCTGGCTTCTGCCTCATGCCTGCTTGGCTGTGCTGTTGATCAGGGGCTCTTGGGCACCCGTCCCGCACCCTGAGTTTGCCCCCTTCTTGACTTAGCAGGTTCCCTGAAACGAGTTTTTTCGTGTCCAGCCTCTCTGGATAGTTTCAGCCAGACTGTGACTCGTGATGAGTTTTATACTTGGCTGGGATGGAAAAATATCTGTTCCCACCTGATGGGAAAACGAGCTATTATCTCTCGCAGTAGAATCCTGCAGAATCTCAATCTCTGAGCTGGGCGGTTTGGTCTTCCAATTCCCACTGCCTTCATCCTTGGCCTTAGGGCAGTGGTTCTCAACCTTTCTAATGCTGTGACCCCATAATACAGTTCCCCATGTTGTGGTGACCCCCAAGTGGGTGTGGCCACCAATAAAAGGGAGTAGGACAGCTAGGGAAAAGGGAAAAAAATGGCGGACAGCGTGGTTAGGCGACCCCCGTGAAATGGTCGTTCGACCCCAAATGGGGTCCCGACCCCCAGGTTGAGAACCACTGCCTTAGGGGTTGAGAATCTTGTCTGTCTGTCTGTCAATCAGAACAGAACTAGAAGTGACCTTGAAGGTCTTCTGGTCCAACCCCCTGCTCAAGCAGGAGACTCTATACCAGTGACGGCGAACCTTTTAGAGACCGAATGGCCAAATGCAACCCAAACCCCACTTACTTATCGCAAAGTGCCAGGGCTGCATCAGCATTGTGGTGCCCTCAAGGGGGGTGGGGGACATGGCCCACTGGGTGGGCGTGGCTACAGTGGTCACAGCAGACTGGGTGAGCGTGGCTGGGGCCAGTCCCTCACCATCTTCGGGGCATGGGGGGGCCAAAGCCACTTACTCACTCACTTCCTGCCCTGTTACTTCCAAACACCATGTGCTTTCTACTTTGGCGAACTCTGCTGGGGCAACAGCATGCGTGCTCACAGAGAGGGCTCTGAGTGCAGCCTCTGGCACACGTGCCCTAGGTTCACCACCACTGCCCTATACCATTCCAGACAAGTGGCTGTCCAGTCTCTTCTTAAAAGCCTCCAATGAGGGAGCACCCACAATGTCTGGAGGCAAGCTGTTCCACTGGTTAATTGTCCTCACTGTTAGGAAGTTTCTCCTTAATTCCAGATTGCTTCTCTCTTCGATTAGTTTCCATCCTTCATTTGTTTCTTGTCTTGCCTTCTCCCTTGTTACTTGTCTGGTCTTCTGGTTTCTGAAACCTCTGGAGGACCACAGGCTTCGTGCTCTCCCTTTTCCCAATTTTGTTGTTGTTGTCGTCGTCGTTGTTGAGTAGTTTCTTTGCTGCTTTGTTGTCATTTTTGCAAAAATAAAATGTTCTTCAAATCGAAGAAATTCAATTCCAGTGAGCTCCTGAATCTCTGTGGCTGCAAAATAATCGTAGATAAGCAAGTAGCATTATATTCCTATTTTTTTTTTTTTTTTTTTACAAAAAAGTGAAGCTCCAAGTCTGGCTTTCAGTTAAATCCCAAATGGGAAGGAGAGAGGAGTTGTAGCTGCCTGTTGTATCAAAAAGACACCCTGCAGAAGCTCTGTGGTCATATCTCCCGTGTCTGGCGATGTGGGTGTGACGTCGATGATGCCTTCAAGAGTAGTGACTGTCACAGGAGGGGAGGAAGGTGACGTCTCTTTTTGAAAAACCCGCAAGCACTTTTTTAAATGATGGGAAAATTGCACTTCACTTTTCAAGGATTCCAGCACAGGGACTCGTCTATCAAAACCGCAGATGGGATCAAAGCACCCAGAGTCACCTTACCGGCAAGATGGACAGCTCATACATTTAGTAAATAAATAAATTAATTAATAAATAAATCAATAAATTAATAAATAAATTAATTCAGTGGCACTGAAAAAAGTGCCCCCCCAAGGCACAGCCGAGCAAGACACATGCCTGTCCACCCGGCGGTGCTCTTCCTCCTGTCCGAGGTTTTCATTGTTGTGAGCATTTATGTTCAGGATTGGCAGCGGGGGTGGGGTGGGGTGTGTTTGGTTTTTATTCCCCCCCCCCCGTTTGCTGGATGGTTGCAGCAGGTTTTGGTCACTTCACATGACCCTGGGACACTGTGACCGTCATAAATATGAATCAGTTGCCAAACATCTCAATGTAAATCACAAGACCCTGGAGATGCTGCAACAGTCCAGCTGATCGGCGCTTCTTCTGGGCTCAGCAGAAGTGCCAGGATCAGCGCTGCTTTCCAGCTGATTGGTGCTTCTTCAGGGCTCAGCAGAAGCACCAGGATCAGCGCCGAGTTCCAGCTAGAGCCTGGCACTGATCCTGGTGCTTCCACTGAGCCCTGACAGCCCTGTAGCTCCAGCCATCTCTCGCTCAGGCTTGTGCAGTGCTGCCACCGGTTCAGCTCATTTCCCTCCCCCACTACCACTTTTCAAGGATGGTTGCGTACCACCTGCCAGGTGCCAATGTACCACAGGTGGTACCCGTACCACTGGTTGAAAAGCCCTGGTCTAGGAAACCCCTGGAACATTTCCCATTGAATCCTGCTTTTAATCCTCTCTCCCTTTGGCTGCCCACTCTGTGCCTCGCCCTTGGGCCTTGCTGATTGGGGTCCTAAGAGGTCAGTAAGACTTCCTTTTGCAGTCAATAGCAGCACCTCGTTTTTAAAGTCGAGAAGTGCCGTGGCCCTGAATTAGGGGCTCAGGAAGAAGATCTTTGCAGCCTGCTGTCTCTCCTGTCCAGCTGGGGATGTATCTCCATCTCCAAATGCAGAGACATTATTGCCGATAATGGGCAATTTGCAAGAATATATGATTCACAGTTCCTCTGGCAACATCACGTCCTCCCCTCGCCGTGCTACCTGGGAAAACAACAACAACACGGGGATTTAAATTCCAATTGAATCATAAGTTGGCTTTTATCCTGCAGAGCCTGCTTGCGGTTCTGGGTATGAATACCTGGGGGGGGGGGAGAAAGGAGATGGAGTGAAAGGAATTTAGATAATGTTGTAATGGCTCTGTGCTTTCCTTTTCAACATTTCAGAGTTAAGCTTCTAATAAAACGCTATTTTCAGGAGAGGAAGAGAAACGGCGGCAGCTTAATAAACCCATAAAGCAATTGGGCCTTTTTGAAAACTCAGAATCTCCTGCTGTTCCCCAAGCAGCATTAATTTATTAAGTTAAATAAGCTTCCTGGCTTAGGCGGAAGAACATCTACAGTTAAAAAACATTTAGGGGAGAGGAGACCAGTTAAACGGGAGGGAGCAGCAGCTGGCACGTGGCAGCTGGCACAAAACTTCAAATCCAAGAAGGTGTGTGGATAGTCCAGAGGGACACATGCACTTTGCCAGGTTTCAGTCCTGGCACGAGGAGCAAAATTTCTCTCAAGTTCTCTTGGCTTGGTGGACTTCCCAGTGGCACCTCTGCCAATGCCGACTTCCTTAAGGCCTCTGCCATCCGGACTCCCTCCAGCACAAGGACCTGTCACATAATAATAATAATAATAATAATAATAATAATAATAATAATAATAATAATAATACCAGAAAAATAATGACAATGAATCATGCCCTTCATCCACGCAGTGACATTGATAGACTTTATCTACCAAGGCAAATAGGTGGGCGTGGAATGCTACAAGTACATCAGATGGTTGAAGAAGAAAAAATGGCTTTGGAAGAATATCTGAAGAACAATGATGAAGATGCACTGAAATTAGTATATCAGGAAGGCTTACTAACTACTGGAGAGACCAAACTGGCCTACAAGAAAGACCAAATGAAGAACAGAATAGAGGCATGGGAAGACAAAGCACTACATGGCCAATACATGAAAAAAATAGCTGGGAAAGCAGATAATAATAAAACCTGGCAATGGCTAAGAGCAGGAAAATTGAAGAAAGAGACCGAGGGACTAATTCTGGCTGCACAAGACCAAGCCTTAAGGACAAATGCATACAAAGTCAAAATTGAGAAGACAGCAACAGACAGTAAGTGCCGCCTATGCAAAGAAGCTGAAGAAACAGTGGACCACTTGGTAAGCTGTTGCAAGAAGATTGCACAGACTGATTACAAGCAGCGGCATGACAAAGTAGCAACAATGGTGCATTGGAAGATCTGCAAAAAATATCATTTGCCTGTAAGCAAAAACTGGTGGGATCATAAAATAGAGAAAGTCATAGAAAATGATAAAATTAAACTGCTCTGGGACTTCAGAATTCAAACAGACAAGCACCTGCAACATAACACCCCAGACTTAACAATTGTCGATAAGAAAGACAAAAAAGTCTGGATAGTGGACGTGGCAGTGCCTGGAGACAGCAGAATAGAAGAGAAAGAACTGGAGAAGATAACAAAATACAAAGACCTACAAATAGAAATAGAAAGACTGTGGCAAAAGCAAGCAAGGGTAGTACCAATAGTCATAGGCTCCTTGGGTGCAATCCCAAAACAACTGGAGCACCACTTGAACACCATTGGCATTGACAAAATTCGCTATTAGTCAATTGCAAAAGGCAGCCTTATTAGGAACTGCTTCCATCCTGCGACGATATCTGTAATACCATCAAACATCCACATCTGCCTATCCCAGGTCCTGGGTAAGGACTCGATAGGTAGACAAAATGCCAAATCCAGTCTGAACATCTGGCTGACTGCGATGATCGATAATAATAATAATAGAAAGACTGTGGCAAAAGCAAGCAAGGGTAGTACCAATAGTCATAGGCTCCTTGGGTGCAATCCCAAAACAACTGGAGCACCACTTGAACACCATTGGCATTGACAAATTCGCTATTAGTCAATTGCAAAAGGCGGCCTTACTAGGAACTGCTTCCATCCTGCGACGATATCTGTAATACCATCAAACATCCACATCTGCCTATCCCAGGTCCTGGGTAAGGACTCGATAGGTAGACAAAATGCCAAATCCAGTCTGAACATCTGGCTGACTGTGCGATGATCGATAATAATAATATAGAAAGACTGTGGCAAAAGCAAGCAAGGGTAGTACCAATAGTCATAGGTTTCTTGGGTGCAATCCCAAAACAACTGGAGCACCACTTGAACACCATTGGCATTGACAAATTCGCTATTAGTCAATTGCAAAAGGCAGCCTTACTAGGAACTGCTTCCATCCTGCGACGATATCTGTAATACCATCAAACATCCACATCTGCCTATCCCAGGTCCTGGGTAAGGACTCGATAGGTAGACAAAATGCCAAATCCAGTCTGAACATCTGGCTGACTGTGCAATGATCCATAATAATAATAATAAAGTTGGAAGGGACCTTGGAGGTCATCATGTCCAACCCCCTGCTCAGGTAGGTAACCCTACATCATTTCGGATAAATGGTTGTCCAGTCTCTTCTTAAAAACTTCCAGTGTTGGAGCATTCACCACTTCTGGAGGCAGGTTGTTCCACTGGTTAATTGTTCTAACTGTCAGGAGGTTTCTCCTTAGTTCTAGGTTGCTTCTCTCCTTGATGAGTTTCCATCTGTTGCTTCTTGTCCTGCATTCAGGTGCTTTGGAGAATAGCTTGACTCCCTCTTCTTTGGGGCAGCCACTGAGATAGTGGAAGACTGCTATCATGTCCCCCCTCGTCCTTCTCTTCGTTAAACTAGACATACCCAATTCCAGCAACCGTTCCTTATATGTTTTAGCCCCCAGGCCCCTAATCATCTTTGTTGCTCTTCTCTGTACTTTTTCTAGAGTCTTTTTTACATCGTGGTGACCAAAACTGGATGCAGTATTCCAAGTGTGGCCTTACCAAGGCATTGTAAAGTGGTATTAATACTTCGCGTGATCTTGACTCTATCCCTCTGTTAATGCAGCCCAGCACTGTGTCTTAGCTAGGAGCCCTCAACAGTTTTCAGATGTGGCTTTACAACTGCCAGATGAAATTTCTTTTTTTTTTTTAAAGTTTTATTAGATTTTATAGGATTCGGGATAAAATGGGGTCGGGATTAGGTCAGGGTTTAGGCTGGGGTTGCGGTCAGGGTTAGGGTTAGGTAGGGGTCGGGGTTGGGGTTGGGGTCAGGGTTGGGGTTATCCCCCAGTAACATTTTCAATATTTAGCAAACAGAATATTTTCTGGGTACATAGATTTAAATAACAATAATTAGTATAATAGATAACAATAGTAAATACGATTAGTTATCATAAGCAGCATTAATGAATCAATCCATAATATCCTTCTTACTAATATGTATTCAGAATTACATATCACATCCCTTTCTCTCTAATTCGTTTTTCTACCCACTGATAAAAGTTATCCCATGTTCTAAAGTAAACTGAGTCTTCTTTCTCTTTAATCTCTAAAGTCAATCTATCCATTTCTGTACATTCTAACGTTTTCTTAATTAATACTTCTTCAGTTGGTAAGTTTTCATTTTTCCAAAACTGGGCAAATACAATTCTTGCTGCTGTTAATACACGTTGTATTAGATATCCGCTCTCCTTCTCATAGTTAGCTCCTGTTATTCCTAACAAAAACAATTCTGGTTTAAAATCTGTTTTTAGTCATCGTCTCTAACCATACCTGTATCTTAACTGCAAAATTTCTTGGTGTAAGCCCTGCATCTATGCATCATCCCAAACATTGTGGATCCTTGTAGCAAGACTCCGCTCCAGGTCTGATTTTCGGGTTCGAAAGTGCAAAATGTTTCCCTACAACCTTTTCTTAGGATTTTGATATTGGCGCTTTCCACTTTGCACAGAGACAGTTCGTTGAACCAAACCTGTAGACCAGGGCTTTTCAACCTTTTCACCCATTGTACCACTTTTAGGATATGGCAACATCCAAGTACCACCCGTCGCCTAGCAAGATGTCAAAAACTTGATGACCCCCCCCCAAAAAGGAAAAGACTGATGAAGTACAGGTAGGCCTCGACTTACAACAGTTCGCTTAGTGACTGTTCGAAGTTACGATGACACTGAAAAAAGTGCCCCCCACGCCACAGCCAAGCAAGACACCTTCCTGCCCACCCAGCGGCGCTCTTCCTCCTGTCCAAGGTTTTCATTGTTGTATTTCTGTTGAGGATTGGCAGCGGGGTTGGGGTGGGGGGGTGTTTGGTTTTTATTCCCCCCGTCTGCTGGGTGGTTGCAGCAGGTTTTAGTCACTTCACATGATCCTGGGACACTGTGACCGTCATAAATACGAATCAGTTGCCAGGCATCTGAATCTAAATCACAAGATCCTGGAGATGCTGCAACATTCCAGCTGATCGGCGCTTCTTCTGGGCTCAGCAGAAGCGCCAGGATCAGTGCTGAGCTCCAGCTGGAGCCTGGTGCGGATCCTGGCGCTTCCGCTAAGCCCTGACAGCCCTGCAGCTCCAGCCATCTCTCGCTCAGGCTTGTGCGGTGCTGCCGCCGGTTCAGCTCATTCCCCTCCCCCGCTACCACTTTTCTAGGATGGTCGCGTACCACCTGCCAGGTGCCAATGTACCACAGGTGGTACCCGTACCACTGGTTGAAAAGCCCTGCTGTAGACAGCCTGAAACGAACCTCAACCCACATTCTTTCAACTTTCCCGTGGGCATAGGCCCTTTCCTGTGCAATGGGGACGGTCGCGATAGAGGTGCAGGCTGGTCCTCAAATGCACCTAGACTTCCAAGATGCCAGGACAAAAAAGTGGGCGAAGAGGCCGGTTGTGTAAAATTATGCTGGATGATGGGGATTTTTTTTATTGGAAGTATGGTTGAGAAAGAATAATTGGAATGAAGAACAAGGGAGGGACTTTCTGCCTCCAAATAATTATTTCACAGCTGGAACTCCACCAGTGCTCGAAGCCGTCTGTTTTCTGTCTTGCCGTCTTTGGGAAAAATAAGGCTAACGTCCTTTGCTGAAAAAAATATGCCTTTTACTTTATCATTTTCTTCAAAAGACCCAATCACGGCAGGCTAAAGAAATCCATTTTGTGGAAACAGCAACACGAGGCAATGCAAAGCTTTTATTCAGAGCTGGGAGGAAGGACGGACACCTCTTAGCAAGATCCAAAGGTCACTTCATTTTTCCAAAGCATGTGCAGGAAATAAGCACTGTCGCCTGTTGTACGTTTATTTCGTATTAAGCGACTCGCCTCCAATTGTTCCCCGTGATAAACACACTGACTTGGGCAATAGGTAAATGGGAGAGAGGGAGAGAAGGAAGAGGCAAGGGAATACTGGCTCTTTGGGATCGTCCCTGATACTTTCAGCAGAGGCAGTGGTGGGATTCAGCCGGTTCGCACCACTTTGGCAGAACCGGTAGCTAATTTTTTATTGCCCAGGCCCAGAATGGACTTCCGGAAGTGGTTTCCATGCAGAAAACTGGTTGTTCACATATTATTATTACTACCACTACTACTACTACTACTACTACTACTACTATTATTATTATTAACAACAACAACAATAATAATAAAGATGGAAGGGACCTTGGAGGTCATCTAGTCCAATCCCCTGCTCAGGCAGGAAACCCTACACCATTTCGGACAGATGGC